TCAAATCCCTTTCATGTGGAAAATTCCTCCAGAAAAATTACAAACTCATTTAAATTAATTAATTGTGAAATCGATATCAATATTAACGTGAAAGAAAATTGATAGAGTTGTTTTTTATATTTGTTGTAAATTGTTGTAATTTTTTGGAGAGTGGAATTATGATGAAGATGGGGGTTTGGATTTTTTTTTTTATTGATTATTGTAATTTTTTGGAAAATGGAAATGTGATGAAGATGGGGGTTTGGATTTTTTTTTAATTGATTATTGTAATTTTTTGGAAAGTGGAATTGTGATGAAGATGGGGGTTTGGATTTTTTTTTTTAATTGATTATTGTAATTTTTTGGAAAGTGGAATTGTGATGAAGATGGGGGTTTGGATTTTTTTTTTTTATTGATTATTTCTGGTTGTCCGCGAAAATGTAATTACGTGATTCTGGAGGGGCTGCAATTGCAGCCGAGATGTACAGACCACAGATGAGAAAATCGACACGGGACTTCATGGTCAACTGGGACAATCAGCTTCAAGAATATCTTTTATGTAAGTCCAGTGATTATCGGGGGCAGCGCGGAGTTTTCGCGGAAAATAAACGCAATGCGAATGAATCTTATCGTCGCAAATGTTATGAACTGCAATTTTATCACAAATGCGAATATGTTTGTATACTTTATTATCACTGCAGTTTTTAGAAATTATTGACAACTTCTGTATTTTTATTAACATATTATTTTTACGTAATAGACGGTTTTCATTTGTTTGTTTTACTTGTCGATAAAATATTTTACAAAAATGTTTTTTTACATTTTCCAAGGCTTAACGGTCAGAGTTCACTCGGTTTTCCCCGGGACATCGCCTCACTCGATCTAATGAGAAAATCCTCGCTTGTGACGCATGTACGTGTCGGTGATTAAACGCACGATGAAAAAATAAATGACTTCGAAGCCAGACATCAGACTGAAGCCAGCGAAGAGTCCCAGAAGTCCGCCGAATGAAGCTGAAGCGATAAAATGAATATAAAAATATTAATTCACCCGTAGAAAAATGATAAAAGAACAATTTTGAATTTTTTAAGGAATTCCCACTGGAACTCTAAAAATTGGAGTTCCCTCGGAATTTTATTGAGTGTTTAATGAGAAATTAAATTCGTGTGGTACCGAATAAATTCCGCCAATCGTACGCTACATTTCTTCGATACTGGATCGACACTAAGTCGCTGAAGAAGATGTGCACGAGACTCTGGTTCTTGATATCCATGTCCCGGCTGAAAAAGGAAATGAATGAAAATAAGGGAAAGTTATTATTGTAAATATTTATATAATATTTTTTACGTACAAGAGTTCCTTCTGGTTGAAGAAATTAGAATTATCGAGAAGTCCAGTGGATTCCTCCACTGGATACCGATACAATTGGCAGTCGGGTTGACAGCCACAGGGTCGACTCGCGTCATTCAGTAAAGGGGATGATGTCAGGATAGTATTTGACAGCTGTGCACCAGGAAATGACGTTCTGTACCGTCCTGGAACGTCATGAATTGAAAAATCGATTTCTATTCCAATTATTTCGAATTCCTGCAGGAACTCCGGAGGAATTCCATCGGCATTCCAATTTCTATAAAAAAATCGGTTAATGAACCGATAATTTATTGATAATTACCTCTATTATACTGTTGGCATTGCACGTCTCTCAAATTACAAACTCTCGTCTCTGGAAAAAGTAAAATGGTGGAGCGCTCTTGAAATTAATTGAATGTTTTCAGCGACAATAACAATTGGAAATTAATCTACCGTTTTGCGGATAATAATATGGAATACATCCGCACAATTCTTTTACGATTGTTGCCCGACATTCGGTGACACAATTGGTGTACGAGTACTCGGCGTAAGTGAGATTCGATGAACCTTTTTTCATATCATTCATGCGATCTCCTTCGTCGCTGAAAATGCACTTTCTGTTTCTGAGTGTCAGCTGCCTCACGTCGTAAGTCGAATGCGTCTCCTCCGGGGAAATACTCAGGAACACCTGATACCCAGAGGCTATCACCTTCGTCTCGGCGTTCCAATCCGGGTAGTCGTAGGGAAAATGCAGGTAAACCTTTAAAAAATTATCTTGAATAACTTCAAAAATTAAAAATCAATTGGAATCACATTTTTTTTTTAAATGCACCTTCGCCCCGTAGGCGCCTAGAATTGAAGAGAAATAATCCTCAGGCCGAGGATTTATGAGAGCAGTGAGACCAGTTTGATATCCACAGGCAGTAATTCTCTTCGGGGATTTGCTGAAATAATTAAATCCGTCCGCGCATTACCAATTTTTATTGAATGTCCCCTAAATTCTGATTAAATTACTTTTTCTTCTCTTCCCTGGTCCTGACGTAATTGAAGCTGCAGCAGAGTCCCTCCCTGGAGATGGTTTCCTCGAACAATTCCCCACAGGGGGTGGAACTTCCCTTCCACTTGCAGCTGAGAAGTAATTCCGAACAATTTTGCGACACCTGAAAGTGGAAATTCTCTTTGAATATCAATTTAATATCGCGGAATAAAATACTGACCGATCTCACGACATCTTCAATAGAATATCCATTATCATCGAAAATTCCCTGTAGATTACTGAGATTCGACTTCAAATTACCCTTGAAAATCCCCGGATCAGTGAGTTCTAATAACAATCGCATTTGACGTGTCACGTACTCTTCACTCATAGTTTTCGGTAATTCCCTGAAAATTCCCCATAATCTCAATTTTCCCATTTTCCAAGTATCAATTAATTTTCTAATTACTCCTGTAACTTTATTCTCCCTTATAAATCATTGAAATTAGATTGAAAGATACTTACAGTCTTCTCACAAATTCTCTCGTTTTATTCAGGGAAATCCTGTTGAGATTGCAAATTGTTATCGCTGGAAACGGATAATTCCAAATTCCTCTGTGCGTTGATTCAATGACTGTTAATGTGGATCGTGATGAATTATAGACCCATGCAGTGTGCATCAGTACACCTGCACATGATAATGCACTGAATACAGTTATTCCCCAGATGATTCTGCCAATTAAAAAATTAAAACACCCAATTAATTAAAAATA